CCACGGCGCTCGCCAGGGCGTCGCATGCGATATCCTGAATGAGATGTGGCTTTCACACGCAATGATTTCATCCCCCGCGCGCTCCCGTAGGGAGATATCACGGCAACGCCGGCGCAGAAAGAGGAGGCCGAGCAGAACCCCATGCGCATCAAGCAGGGCGCTGCGGACGCCGAGCAACGGTAGTTCGAGGCCCTCGCGCTTCTCAATCACATTGAGGCTGCCCGAATGGAAGCGGAGGGGAACCTGCTTGCGGCGCGCAATGCTCTCCGCGACGCCCACGGTGGGCTCATCGCACTGCAATCGCAGCTGCAGCAGCAGCAGCCGCAGCAGCAACGCCATGAGCAGCCGCAGCAGCAGCAGCAGCAAGAGCAGCAGGACCGGCTGCCGCGGCAGGCCCACCAGCAACCCGCTACGGCGGGAGGTGCTGCAGGGCCAGGCGCCATGCCCCCAGCGGACTTCGCTGCGGCGCAGGCGATGCTGCAGCCGCAGGAAGGGTGGCGGCCCAGCATGCTTCCAGGCGCCCCCGCAGGGCAGGGGCCGCCGCCGCAGCAGCCGCGCCACTTCCCGCCGCAGCCGCCGCAGCATACCTGGCAACCGCAGCAGGCCTCGCCACAGCCGCCGCAACAGATCCAACCGCAGCCGCCGCAGCAGATCCTGCAGCAGCTAGACACCCCAGCCTGGGAACCGTGGCATCTGCAGCAGACTGAGCTCCAGCAGCAGCAGACCCAGCTTCAGCAGGAGCAGATGCGGCGCCAGCAGGGGGAGACGCGGGGGCTCCAGCAACAGCTGGAACAGCTTCAGCGCCAGCTGCAGCCGCTGCCTCCGCCGCAGCCGCCGCTGCAGCCGCTGCCGCAGGCGCCGCGGCAGCAGGCGCCGCAGCGGCAGGCGCAGCAGCCGGCCGCAGCAGTCACAGCAGGCGCCGACAGTGCCGCAGCCTGCGGCCGAAGCGATGACCACGCCCCTGCTGCGCGCGCCCCCGGCGGCCAAGGGGGGCGGCGCCGACGACGCCCGCGCCGCTGCGAGCGCGGGGCCTTTTCAGCTCGGGCAGGCGCCCGCGGAGCAACGTGCGTCGTCGGCGTTTTGAAACTGCCCGATAAAACGAGCCCGGGCAAAGGCCCCTGAGAGGTAGGGGGGCGGGGCGAGGGAGGGGGGGCGCAGGGGGGTCAGGAGGCGAGGGGGGGGAGGGGGGGGGGGGGGGAAGACGGCAGGGATGGGGCGGGGGGGGGGGGAAGGGGGGAGGGGGGGGGGGCGGCGAGGGGGCCAGGGAGAGGAGGGAGCGAAGCAGGCGATGGGGGGGAGCGCGCCAAAAATGATACAAACCATGTTGTTATTTTACGTGCACCCCCAGGGCCCAACCATAGCTCAAACAAGTATTGTATTTTAAGTATGGCTATATGGTTTCTTATTACTGCAAGTGTAAATCGATTAATCGAATTAAAACAAGAAGATACTTATAGGTGGGCCCTCAGGGCCACCTCATAACTATTTTTTAAACAAAAAAATGTTATATGGTTTCTGTTTGTTTTTACTTGTAAATCTAGTCATTTCATTGAAAGCGCAATAATTTACTTCAATTAAATGTGGATCCCCCGGGCCCAACCATAATTTTATTAAAACATACCGATTCAGTGTGGTTCTATGGTTTCCTACTGCTGTTAATTGCAGATCTAGTATGATAAATAAAAAAAATATTGCTGTCTACTTAATGACGACCCCCAGGACCCAGCCATCTTTAAAATAATCAAAGTCTAGTTCCACGATGGTTATATAATTTCTAATTGTTTCAATTGTACATATTCGAATGTAATTAAGACTGGTATATAACATACATATTCGAATGTAGTTAAACATGTGGATCCTCAGGACCAAATCGTAAGTACAATAAAACTATGTTACTTTACACGTGGCTATATGGTTGCATTCGTGCTGTTGACTTGTAAACTTGTTAATTAATTTCAACTTGAAAATTTTAGTTGAATTAACCGCGCACCCCCAGGGCCCAGCCAAGCTTAAAACACAACAGTTAATTATAATGGAACGTGGATCCCCAGGGCCCAACCATACATACAATAACATATTTCGTTACATGTATGATCGCATGTGCTTACATTGGTACTAGCAAAACGAACATATAATATATTCTGTTGTTGCTGATCTAAACAACCAATTATATACTGTTATATATATATATGTGTGTTATGTTATGTTTGGCGCGCCCTGTCTCTCCCTGATCACCCCGCCACCTCCCTTCCCTTTCCTTCCCCTCCGTCCTCTTCTCCTCCTCCATTTCCCCTTTCCCTCCCGCCCCCCCCCCCCCCCCTTCCCCCCCCCCCTCGCCCCCTGCCTCCCTCCCCCCCCCTTGCCTCCTCCCCCCTCTCCCCCCTTGTCCCCTTCTCTCTCCCCCCTCTCTCCCCCCCCATCCGCCCTCCTCGTTCCCCCCCCCTCCTCCCCGCCCTCGCTCTGGGGCCCCTCGGCTAAGGGGCCCCTTTCGCCCATCCCATTCCTCCCCGCGCGCTTCGCGCCGATCTCCGTGCCATGGGCGCTTAGGCTCGAGCCCCGATTCGGTTCCGAACCTCAGGGGGCGCGGCGGCATGGTAGTAGAGTTGCTTATCATATTGGCGCTCGTCGTGGGATTCGCAGCGGGCACGCTGGCCGGGAAACGTTGCGGCGCGGGGGCGCGCGCGGTGAAGCCCCCGCCCGAGCAGCCCGCGATGGCCGAGGTGCTGCCACCCCCCAAACGCGTTCATTACCCCTACTTCGAAGACGGTGCACCACCTCTCCAAAGCATGCCAGCACATCGAGGATCTCTCTACCATCGCGCGCGCGCAAGGACTGCCCGCGCGAGAAGGCGCGCGAGACCTTGCGCCAGCGCCGGAAGACGATGTGAGAGCGTGTCCGCCGCCTCGCGAAGTGCGCGCGTCGGTCTGGAGTTTTTGGCCCAAGTGCCTGCCGCGGGAAGGCGCCTCTTCCCCCCTCGTCATCCTGCGTCGCCCCTCGCCGGAGACCCCTCGGCATAGGGGCCTCCGCCGCCTCGCCCTACCCCCCCCCCCCCTCCGCGCGCGGGTCAGTCGCGAGGGCCCGCGAGGAGGTCATGCACCGCGTCCGTTCCGTGGGCGCCCAGGCTCAGACACAACGATAGATATTGTTTCTCGCGCGCATTGCGTCGTCCAAGCGCGCCAAAACCTGCGATCCCAGCTCAGAACCTGCACGTGGGAGGTTTAGGAACAATATGGGAGATCTCCTCGCAAATAATGTCGTCAGCGGCAGGAGAGGTTCTGAACTTTTGAGAGATGCCGAAGCAGCGAGCGATGCGGGCTTGCAGTTCGCCCGCCGCAGCAACGCAAAAAGCGCCGGGGCCACCTCCGCAAATGCAGGTCGGTTCACCAGAACTTTCCTCACCAGGCGCATGGCGTGGCCGACAGAATACCGAGCGCAAATCCGAGCGATGAGAAGGAGAGGTCAGCTTGGAGGGACGAAGTCTTGAATGTTCTTCTGGCTGCCGCACGAGCTGCTGCGCGCGCCGCGTCGCTTCGGGAGCGCAGAGGCCATCGCGGATCGCAGGGGGCTCGGCCAGGTCAGCCTCGAGCACATGCAATCCGCCGACGGGCAGATGGACGGGGAAGCTATTCCGATCGGTTTCTGGCAGGACGGCGCCCCTGTCAATTGGGGTCGCACATGGGGCCTCGAGATCTTCACTATCTGTCTGCCAGGTCAGTCGGGCGAGCGCCCGCCTTTGACTGCCTCGCTGAAGCGCCGGATCGGCGAGCGCACGACGGATGACATCTGCGACGTCATCGCCTGGAGTTCCTGTTGATTGGGCCTGGGGAAACACCCGCCATCGCGCCATGACAATGAGGCGTGGCTGAGCAGTGACACGAAGAAGGAGCGCCTTGTGGGGCAGGCGCTCCCTTGCAAGGCGGCGTTGGCGCAAATGCGCAGAGATTGGAAAATGTTCGAAGCGCGATTCAAACTACCCCGCTGGGACGAGAAGGCGGGCCGTCGTTTCCGGTGCTGGGTGAAACCAAAGGAGATCGCAGATCAGGTGGGCCTCTCAGCGCCCCGGCGGCAGCATCGGAAATCGTGGGGCGACGTCGTCGGCGGCATCTTTCGCAGCGGCTGCAGAGTGACCCCCCTGTTCCAGGCGCCGTGCGTGAGCTTGCGCGTCATCAGGATCGATTGGCTCCATGCCGCAGACACGGGTTTCTCGGCAGACTTCCAAGGGGGGCGCTGCGGCGCCTGCAGACGAAGGTGGCGGGCTCGACGGCGACGATGAGGGTCGCCTGGCTGAGCGATAAACTCTACGAGTTTTACGAAGCGAATAGCATGAGGGACAGGCTGAGGTGCCCGGGCGCGCGCGTCATCAAGCGGGGCCAGAAAGCGCCCAAGTTGAAGATGCAAGGCGCCCTGTGCCGCGCGATGGCCCCGTTCGCCTGGGAGACAGCGGAAGGGCTCTGCGATCTTGGCGACCCGCTGGGCTAGGCTGTGTGCTACGGGGTGCACCACCTCAACGAGTGCTAAAAGGCCCTCAGTGCCGCGTCAGTGACCAGGCCAGGCATCCCGGCTGAGAACGCGCCCAAGCTCGCTCTCTTTTACACGAGCCTGGCGAGGCTGAAGCCCGCGCACTGGCGAGCGAAGCCCAGACTGCACGCCTGGCTCGAGGCGGCCGCCGAAGGCGGCCAGCCCGCAAGCGCGCGGCGCTATGCGGGCGAAGACTTCGGCGGGGGCGTCTCCAACACGGGGCGCAGCCGAGGCAGCGCGTTTGCCGTCTCTGGCGCCAGCCGCGGAGTGGTCCGCAAGTTCGGCATGCGGCCCATTATCAGGAAGAGGTAACATAAAAACTCGTGCGACGCGGGGTGGGTGGGGGGATTCGGCGGTCGGCGGGCAGGCGAGACACGCGGGGGGGGGGGGGGGGGGCCAGGACTTGACATGCGTCCGCGCAGCCTGTCTGCCCGAAGCATCCGATGTGCGCCCCCCCCCCCCCCCCCCGCCCGCCCCGAGCCATGGTGGCCATGTCCCTCTTGGGTGCTTTCGTGCTCGGCTGGCTGGTCGGCATGGCGCCGAAGAAGCGGCCCGCTATCGCGGGCGGCGCCGCGGGCAGCGCCGCGGCCAGCGACGCTGACTGCCCCGGTGGCGATCGCAAGCCGAAGGCGGCAAAGAGCCAAGCGAAGCCGCCCCTGCCGTGTCCGGGAGCCCGCTCGCGACCGCGTCTCCCGCGTCGAAGGCCGACGAGGCCGTGGCGGAGGCCGACGCGGAGGGCCAGGCGGGGGCGGACAGGGAGGTCAAGCTTGTGGCAGGCAGCCCTAGCAAGCGCGCCCCCAAGGGCGCCCGCGACCAGGTGGCGACGAACGAGATGCTGACTGGCTCGTGTCAGCAGAAGGCTGGCAAGGACCCCGACAAGGCGGTGAAGGCAGCGGCAGCGCTGGAGATGCACCACCAGCCGGGCTGGGAGGAGAAGGAGTCGATGGCGGAACGCTGCAAGGGGAACGAGGCCCGCGGCAGCATGAAGTGGATCGACGACTGGATGGGGACGCGCAGCAAGGAATGCGCCACCGCGGCCGGCTGGAACGAGAATTGGCGCGGCCCTGGGCAGGTGCTGCAGCTTCTCGGCTTGAACCTCAGCGACTTTGAAACCCGCGAAGAAGCGCTGGCCTTCGTGGCCAAGGAGGTGCGCCGCAACCAGGTGGCTTCAGGCACGCTGGAGTCCCACCCGCCCAAGATCGACGAGTCGAGCTGGCTGATGTCTCAGTTCTTCTGGGTGGTCGACCGGGGGGGGGGCCAAGACGGCGGCCCCGCCCCCGCCCTCCTCGCCCTCCCCGCTCAGGGGCCCCTCGGCTAAGGGACCGTCGAGCGGTGCGAATACTTAAGAAGGAGGGGTGAGGAGGGAACGAGGGAGGGGATATCGGAAGGCAGGGTCGAGGGGCGGGGGCGGGGCCACCTGCTGGGCACCTGCAGGATGATCACGGGCGAGCACGCCGCGCAACTGGAGAGCCGCGCTAACGACTGCAACAAGGCTATCCAGAGCGGGCGGCTCGAATTCGCCCTGGGCGCGCACGGGGGCGACGAGGTCAAGCAGCAGGGCGGCGGCGCCGAAGCGCTCGAATCCGCCAGACATGCGGCCAAGGCCTTGAAGGCATTCCTGCAAGAAAATCGACAGGCCGCTGAAGAGCCTGACCGTTCTGAAAAAAGCAGTTCTCCGCCAGGGCCGAGACCCTCGACGACCCCGGCGTGGGCAAGTACGCAGAGGCCTCCAAGGACCTTGGCAAGGTTTACGACGCGCTGAACACCTACCAGGATGACGCCGAAGCGATCGCCACGATCGTGGACGATCTCGCGAAGAATGGGATTACTAAGCTGGAAAAGGCGGAGGGTGACAAGGAGAAGGCCATCAAAACCTTCGAGGAGGAGTGCGAGTCGCGCGCCAAGCAGTGCGACGAGCGGCGGAAGGCGGGCGACGAGCGCGCGAAGAACGCGGCGCCGAAGGTCACCGAGATGCAGGGCAAGCATCCGAGGGAGCCGTCAGAGCGGAGCTAAGCCGTGCCAGGAGGCAGGCGCCAGCGGCGACGCTGCCGCTGCGCCCGCCCTGCCTTCTTAGATGCTGCGGCGGGACAACAATCCTCCTCCTCCTCCCCTGCCCCTTCCCCCCCTCATCCTCTCCTCCTCCTCCTCCTCCTCCTCCTCATCCTCCTCCTCCACAATTACTCGATATGAATGCTACTCTACCTCTTCCCCTCATGACGGTTTGAATATGCCTCCACAGTTACTCAATATGAATACTGCCCCCCCCCCCCCCCCCACTTCCCCTGATGACGGTTTGAAAATGCCCCCCCCCCCCCCCCCCCCGTGGAGGAGAAAAATGGATATATTTGACGACGTGCGTGTCTTGCGTTTGCTGGAGCTGTATCGATGAACATCACGATTTGATAACAACGACGATGTTTGTTTTAACGGCGATATAGGCCCGCAGTCACAGAAGTGCAGTAGGTAAGTAAAGTGCATGCGCCACAGAGGTGAAGCTTATAGCGCCGATGCTGGGCGCTCGCGAATAATTTTTGCATTCGTCGGCAGGCTCGCCAGATCCACCGACTCGCCTGCTTCTACTGAGTGGCACATAAGAAGTGAAAACTTGAATGGCGTCTCTGCGACGAGGAACATGGCAAATTTGGCCAGCAGGTCGTGCTCCTCAAATGTGAGCGTCAGGTCGCCGCGGCATTTAGCCACAAATCCAACGAACAACTTTGCCAACCTTGCTGCAGTAGCGACGCATAAGGCATGCCGCTGAGTCTGGTAGATTACATTCCTATAAAAATGTTTTAACTGTTTATGGAAAGCCTCGTTCCGAGTCGTGCCAAACATAATATCTATGGTGGGGTTGTTAGCCACGTGCTTACATAAATTCCGAATGTACCCCAATTCCTGTACAGTCGTTGCGTGCTCGAGGCTGCTCAGCACTGTTGCTCTCTTACCTGTACTTCGGCGCGTCGCATCTGGATGCGTTGCGCAGATGGCAGCCGAATCATCTACGAAATCTGACATGGAGTCGTACGGTTTCGCCACATAGCTGTCGCTTTGGATGCGCTTGTACAAGCGGCGCGCGACCGACTCACTCATATCCGCAATCTTCGCGGCAAGTTCAGACGGCCCGTTGCGGCCAGAGCTGCGTTCATAGCATCGGCTCCTGCCAAAACCACCCAATCGCAACTTCGCTAGGCACCTGCGGATGTTCGAAGAGAACACAGTTGTCTTCTCGTTTGTTCCCTGCTCGACTTTGAGGGCAATGTGTAGCAAGTCCTTGCTGGCGCATTTCAAATTCGGAAATGCGGTTCGCAATCGCGCGCACTGGTCCAGCGACGCGGGGTAATCCGAACACACCATCTCCACTTGATCAGCATCCTCCCCACGAACAGCATCTCGAAGAGCACGCACCTGATGCACTGGGTCTTCCGAGCTGGCACCGTGGATATTTAATATGCTGTCGAGGCATTGGACGGTGATGAGCGCTCGCAATGGATCGCGGCCGCCCTCTGCTGCGACGTCTCGTTTCTGCCCGTGAGGTACTTGGTACAACACAGACATCAAAGACTTGTAGAATCCATCCACGCCCAAGACTCGAACGTCACATGCGGCGCGGCAGCGATCCACAATGCGCCGAATGCACAAGTGCTCTGATATCCTCTCGTTCAGGGTGTGATAAAATGCGCGGCCCGTCGGAAGCAAATGCGATTAGTGTCCTGATTGGGCGCTGAGAAACGCAATAACCCGCTCCGTTGCCCCCTTCGTCGTCGGATGCACAACGGCGGCGAGGTAGACGTTCAAGAAAGCGCCGGTGCAAAAGAACTTGTCGGATACCTGATGGTGCTTGGCGCAGTCGACCGTCAGGATGTACCTCGTGCGCGTCAGATCCAACAGGATTGTAATTGCCTTGTCCAAGCGCTGGCAATCGCGCGTCAACTGGGCTTTCATATGCTCCCACGATGGGCTCTCCTCCAACTGAACTCGGATGCCGACTGCGCAGCTGTTCACCAAGTTCCCCGCTGTGATATTTCCACTGCGGCCGCACAGCTCATTAAAGCGGGCATTGAGTGCAATCTGGTTCCACTGGCCGCAAACAGAGTACTGCAATTTCGTCGAAAGAATGCCACACCCACCTTTGATATGGTACTTGCTGATATGCGTGAGCAGCTTACGTTTCTCCTTGAACTCTCTGGCAACGCACATGGGGCATCTGCAGTGGTGCGCCGAGCCGAGTTCCTGGTGGTCACCCATGCAATCGCTAACGTCCCGCCAGTGCATCACCTCCTTGCGCACTGCCGACTCCAATCCCGCAGGCCACCAACTCGCCTTTCCGCCCACTCGGCGGGTCCTGGCGCGCTCCTTGTGGACAATCGGTTTGGCCGCCGCGGGTCTCCTCGCAACGGTTTTAGCGCCGCACAGAGAATCATCTGCCCCGCCCAGCTCGCCGAAGCCGTCGGCCGAGTCGCTGACGCCCTCAGAGCCGCGGGGGGAGTCGCTGCATTCAGTAACCATGAAGATTTTCTGAATCCCAGACTCTGCCTTTGCGATGATCTGCTCAGCATTCGCCAACGTAAGCAATTCTGGCCGACCGTCGCGGAAACTGACGACGGTGCAATCGCCAATGCGCAACCCGTAGGCGTGGCCGTTCCTGAGGAGGCAACTTCTGGGAGGTGTTTGTAGGGGTGGTTGGGAAACATTATATTGAAAGCGCATAAAACGCATGCGCGGTAAGGGTACAGGGACCTCGGAATGCCGCGCTGACTGCTTTCGAAGACGCAGCGGCCAAGGACGCAAACAACACTTGGGGATGCAATGGTTCCCTCGAAACGTCGATAATCCTTACTGCGCGACTTGGATGTGAGTTTCATAAGACGCGCGAATAATGATTAAGCCGCATTAGACGGAATAAAAACGATTGAATCGAATGTGGGGCCACGCCGACATAGGAAATCACCTCCCAGGAGTTGCGCCCATACGTTCCCGTCGTCGACCAAGAACCGCCCACCGCCGCGCACGCGCGACGGCGGGATGAGACCCACCTGGAAGCCGAGCGGGCGGGGCACGTGATTGCCGTCCTGGAGATCTCACGCATGCGCTTCGTCACGCGAGCAGCGGCGCCCTGAGTGCCGCAGGCGTCCCCGAAAAATCCAGGGACGCCCGCGGCGAGCCATGGCGCCGCTGCGAGCCCGACGAGGCGTCTGCGTTAGAGCTCTGTCCTTGACCACCCACAGCGGGCCGCTCCGCGCGCGCGATACCGCAAACCCAATGTCACGAAGTGCTTCGGCAACGCAGATATTCCTGAGCTCCACGTTGCGGCCGCGGGAGCAGCGGGTCGACTCCTCTGACACGAACGAGAGCTCCTGGTCTACGAGGATGCCGAGCATCTTGCGGTCGTTGCTGCAACGCGCCCTCTTCGACTGCTGGTTGCCCAGAACAAGGCTGTCCAGGACCGGGCAGGCAAGTGTGTCTTGCCGGGCACGTACAATAACATCGTACACCTCTGTTTCTGCGTCGAACGGACCGCATCCTTCCAAATCATACGCTGGGCTTTCCATTTCAGGAAGAGAACGCACGTCGGCCTCGATGACAGCGAAGAACGTGACGCGCATCCGCGAAGCAGCCGATAGGAAACTTCTGGTGGACGTGCGGATGATATTGCCGAGCGCCGAATCCAAAATGCAGAGGTGCCCCTCGCGCACCTCGACGGCCATGAAGTGTCCGGAGGTATCCCCGTATGGTTGCCAGCACACCAGCTGCGAGTTTGCCTGGATGATGTCGCGAATTGTGCCACGACGCTCTTGGGGCCACAGCACCTGATCTTCACGTTGCGACCCGTTGCCCCAATGCTCGTTGAACTGACGAACGGTGTGAGGCCCGTCGCACGGCGGCCGCGCCTGCGGAGAGTGATGCTTCAAGTGTTGCACAGAATTGTATAGACATGCGCCAAACACTTCAGGTGCGACGCGAGGCGGTAGCTCCGCGCCGCGCGCTGCGTCACCTGAGGCCAGAAGCAAGTCTCCGAGCAGCGGGTGCACTGGCGATGCCTTGGCCACCGTGAGCTTCATCCCGCAGGTCTCCTGGAGGTCGCCGAAGACTTCATCTATGCGGAATCCAGGCGCACATGTTGATATAATGAGTTCATCGAAGATGCAGCACGCGACGTTCAAATTCTGCTGGCCACTGCACTGGCGCATGACCTCCATCACTTCGTCCTCGCGCGCCGACAGGGCATAGAACAATCTGGTTGCGGCTGGCCTTCGCCGCATGCCAAACTTGTGACGAAAATGCTGAAAGTCGCTAGACCCTAAGACGATGTCCTTGGCCTGCGCCACGTCGACGGCGAGCGACCACAAAAACGGAATGTTGTTCACGGGCTTACCCAAGCCGAAGATCCTTGAAATCATCTTCTTAGCTTCTGAGAGGTCAACCTGGAGATAGTCGCTGACGAATGCCCTCCAGACGTCGCAATACTGAACGAACCTCTCCAATGAACGCAATGGCACTGCATCTCTTGCATGTAATTTCCTCACCTCTCTCAGAAGGAGCGTGGGGAAGCAGTTTTTGATGTCGATGCTGTAGCTCAAGCCAGTCAACGCAACAGACCGCGCCTCTTTTGTGAGCCATTGCAGCGCAGGGCCGCGCGCGTACATCCTGCCAGGGAGCCCATGCTTCCGATAGTAAATCACTTGTAGATCGACGTAGTCCCCAGTGACAACGCCTTCCTGAGGAGACGAAAAGATACCAATACCGCTACTCCAGGGACCCACCCTTGGGCGCGTTCTGACCAGAATTTCGATGCGAGTCCAGCCGTGGCGACGATGGCTGTCCAGGATTAGCAACGGTATCGGTATATTTTCCTCTGCTGGCTTCCTTCATGCACCGTTCGATGTACTTGCTCAGCATGTCTGGCCTGCGGTCGTGGCCAGCCAATGCGTGAGCTTGCAGCGCAGCAATGTTCACCCGCTCCGTCAGCGCGCATGCGCCCGCGTCGTCCTCGTGATAATCGAAAGCAGAAGTGT